TCCTGAGCAACCTGGAAAGGACCCCAGGCCAATTTTCTGCATATTCCTCAGCTCCACAGGGAGAGGAAAATGCTCCACCTCCCCCAGTTGCTGCTGAGGCTGCCAGCTAGGAGGGGCTGTGGCTTCCATGTCGCTTCCCCAGCACAGCCAGGCTTGACTTTTCAGAAAATCCTTGAAGATGGGAAGGACTCCCAAGGGTGGCATAGAATAGCCAGGCCCAGCCCTTGGGCCTATGTAAAGCAGCTGTTTGGAGGCAGAGGGTCAGATGCCTGGTGAATGGGAGGCTGGTGCCCGATGCAGTCAGAGAAGGCAGCGTTCTCACTCAGCTGCTCTCAGAGCAAAGGCACTTGCCCTCTGCAGGCTGCCCCAGAAGCAAAGGAAAGCAGCTAGAGGCTAAAGTGAAGGTTTGGGGACCTTAACATCCACTATTGTTTGGACGTTTGTTCCTGCTCAGTGTGGAATGAAGTGTAATCCCCAGTGTTGGAGGTTCCTGGTGGGAGGTGTTTGGGCCATGGGGGCAGATCCCTCATGAATGGGCCATCCTCTTGGTGACAGGGAGCTTCGCTCTGAGTTCACATGAGATCTGGCCATTTAAAAGTGTGTGGCACCTTCCATCTCACTGAACCCCCGACTCTCCCTCTTTCTGTCTGTCTCATGCTGAAGGAGACAAGGAACAGCGAGATTCTCCCTTGGAGCCTTCAGAAGAACCTGCCCTCCCTGTGGACACTTGATTTTAGCCCTGTAGGTTCATTTCAGACTCCGGACTACTCAGAGTAAGTCTGTGTTGTTTAAGCCACTGTTTGTGGTGGTTTATTATGCAGCAATGGGGAACAAATACACCCAACATGTCCTGGGGCAACGCCCGGGGACAGAGGAGGGGACTGACACCCACACCCTGAAGCATGAAGGGAGGTGACCAGCAGCTAACCCTCAAAGAGGCTGACTAGTTCTCAAAAGGGAGGAGAGGTATGGCTGGAAGCCGTGGTGGGAAGCAAGGGAGATATTTTTTTTGGAGACAGGGTCTCATTTGGTCACCCAGACTAAAGTGCAGTGGCACAATCACAGCTCACTGCAGCCTCAACCTCTTATGCTCAAGCGATCCTCCTGCCTCAGCCTCTAGAGCCGCTGGGACCACAGATGTAGATCACCACGCCCAGCTCCCTAACCCCATTTTCTGTCCCTGGGGTTCATGGGGTGTGAGATAATAAACAGTCCCCATTGGAGAGAGATTATTTAATCCTTACCCGGCTCCACAAACCATTGTCGTTATGATCTTCCTTCTACAGATCAGGAGCCTGAAGCATTGTGGGGAGGAGGTCACTTGCGCAAGTTCAGGCAGTTAGGAAGGGCAAAGTAGGGGTTTGAACCGCGCCTGCACCTGTGAAGTTTAGAAACCATCATCACATTCCCCTAGGGGAATAGTCTAGGATCTTCCAGCTTCTCCATCCAAGGCAGTGGTCCCCAGGCGCTGGCAGCAACGTGCGGCTGCCAGGGCGGGAGGCAGGTGCCTGCGGAGGCCAGGCCTTCCCCTCGGCGCAGGCGCAGTGGGCAGCTTGCACTTTGCTGCCCTTGCGTCCGACTCCTTGGGGTTCTGTTCTGGAGGCAGAGCTCAGTGGACTCACAAGAAGGTCATGTCTTCCGTTGAGCCTCTGAATTTATTTGATGAAACCCAGAACTGAAGTTCCTGGAATAAGTCATCTTACCACCAGTGTTTTGAATTAATGAGCTCAAATGTCATTTCCTCCCACCCAAACATTTCTCTTTAGACACACAAGGATGGGGATGAGGAGAAAAAGCCAGGTGATCCGCTGGGCTGTGGTGCACAAATAACTCCCAGATACAGATGACTTGGGAGGGGGCTCAGGCCGGCGCAGTTTCCCAAGATGCTCCTGGCTGTACCATCACTCTGCCTGAGGGAAGCAGTTTATATGATTCTCAGATAAGAACCGTATCAGCAGAGATGCTGAAAAGGAGACAGGACCTTGGCTTCATTGTCCCTTGGGTTTCCATTTCCTCAGGGGATTGGGTTACCCTAAACTTTTCTGGAAGTGAACAAGTCTTGAGATACATTTTTTTTTTTTTTTTTTGAGTTGGGGCTCTCACTCTGTTGCCCAGGCTGGAGTGCAGTGGTGCAAACACAGCTCACTGCAACATCAGTGTCCTGGGCTCAACCTCCTGCCTCAGCCTCCCGAGTAGCTGGCACTACAGGCAGACACCACTATACCCAGCTAATTTTTTTATTTTTTGTAGAGATGGGGTCTTGTTATGTTGCCCAGGCTGGTCTGGAACTCCTGGACTCAAGCAATTTTCCTGTCTTGGCTTCCCAAAGTGCTGGAATTACAGGCATGAGCCACTTTGCTGGGCCATGAATATTTTTTAAAACAGCATGCATTCCAAAACAGTTTCAGAAGTCTACAAGAAAAAGAAAATTATGCAACTATTTTGTATACTGCTTATAAAAAATACTGTTGATTTTTTTTTCTTAGGTGTAATTAGCTTTTGAGTGGGAGAGCTTCTATTCCCACTTTGAACATTCTATTCAAAGTCGAGGACAGTCAAGCACCTCACATTCTAGAGAGCACATCAACAGTTCTCTTGGCAGATGTTGAAAAGGGACAGACCAGCTCTGTCACCCCACCCCTCTTCATTGGCCCACACTAAATGCGAACACCAGTCTGGAGTGCGTACTGGGAAGACTTGGTGGGGAGAGGGAGTGAGTGGGAGGCGCTGCTGGAACCTTGAGCTGTGGGGAGGAGGGGCTTTGCTCAGGTGCTTCGGAGACGTGGGCTCCGCTTCAGCCCTGCACCTGGGCCTGTTCGCCCTGCACCTGGGCCTGCTGCCAGTGGTGCTGAGGCCCTTCTGTGCCTGTGAAGCTGGACTATGAGAATTTCGTCTTTCTTGTGACTCCCTTTCCCAAAGATCTATAAGTTCAACAGGACAAACAAGTCCTAGAACATTTAAAAAACGTAAGTAAATCCCCCTTCTCCTCCCACCTGGAGAACTTAGACTCCATGCCAACTTCTGCAGGGAGGCAATGGTCTTCAGATCTGTTTGGCTATGGCCAAACTAAAGGGTCTCATGGAGAAATATGGTCTGGTGGGAGAGGGCAGAAGACGAAAGCAGAAGGCAGGAAAGAGAAACACTTCTTGGTGTTATCTTCCATGGCGAGTGTGCAGTTTCCATATTCTCCTGCTAGGAACTTGCACTCAGTGGGAGAAATCCCCCAGTAAGCTGTTATGTGGGTGGTGGCCGAGTAGGGGTGGGTTGGTTGCTCTGAACTGTCTGAGACTCTCCTGTCTTAACATTGAAGAAGTGGAGACTTGAAGAGGCGAAGTGAATTTCCCAAGGTGACTTGGAAACGTTGGGTTGTGGGGAGTTGGGTTTGAACTTCGATGAGGAATTTTGAATCCACGTGCTCATAGAGGGGTAGAGAAGGCTGTAGTGCATGAGAGTCAATTACTCAGCAGAGAAGGGAAAGGGAGAAGATTTCACACATTTCTACCCTTCTGAGTTGATTTCAATCCTACCTGGGTAATAGACATCATTATGGTTAATTGGTTGTCTTTGTTTTGATTCTCCCTGAATTAAGGATTTAAACGCAGGTAGTTTATTTGAGAGTTGATCCCGAGAAACCCTGATGGGGGAATGGGAACCGGAGAAAGAGAGGAGGCCACTGGAGGGTGAGTGGTAAGCTCATGTCCACTTTGGGCCACTGGAGCTCGATCCTGCTGGGGAACCCTGGCAGGTGGGTCTCAGACTCCAACCATAGAGCAAGAACACAGGGATGCTTACCCGTCACCTTTCCATCTGGCCTTGACTGCAGCATCTCGCAGGGGCATGGCCTCCCTGGTACTCTGGTCTGTGGAGAGTTACAGGTGCTCTTGTTAAGCGTCTGTGTGCACGTAGAGGAGAGTGCTAGGGAGGGATGGGGGTGCGGCATCAGGGCATCTGCAAACCTCCAGCAGCTGGAGGATGACCGGGTGGCTGCCTCTCTGTAGATGTTCCTCTATCCTGGAACATCTTTCTGTGCCCATTTATTTGTGCTTTACCCTGGGCTGCAAATTTCTGGATAGTTACAGGGGTGGCTCCAGTCATCCTGTTGGGTGTCTCACCTGTCCTAACCCTGACCTTTATTGTGGACCAGGCTGTAGACAGAGAAATCTTCCTCAATCGCCTGTGAGTCTTCTGTGAAGGAACCCCTGCAGGTTTCAGAGGGAACAGGGCCCTGCTGTGCCTTGATGTTGGACTTGTGGCCTCCAAATCTACTGTGAGACAGTAGTTTTCTGTGCTTTAAGCCACCCAGTGTGTGGTGATTTGTGAAGGCAGCCCCAGGAAGCCAATCCAAATGGGGTGCAGGGAAGGGAGGGAGGGTGGCTGGTGTGGGCTCTGCCACTTGGAGCCTGGTGTACAAGGGGCTGCCTTGAGTCTCCCCACCCAGTGAGCAGGCATCAGGGCTGTGGATGATTGCCGATTTTTTTTTGTATGTTCTGTAGAGACGGGGTTTTGCCGTGTTGCCTAGGGTGGTCTTGAACTCCTAGGCTCAGGAGATCCACACACCTCAGCCTCCCAAAGTGCTGGGATTACAGGCATGAGCCACGGTGCCCGTTTTTTTGTTTTGTTTTGTTTTTTACATTTAAAGTGCAAACATCACTTTTATTGACAATTTTGGGTGATAATGGACATTTTCCTGGAACAAAAATAAGGCAGCCCCAAGACAACGGAGTGTGAAATTGTAGCACACACACGAATTTCCAGACACTCTGTGTGGCCCTGGAGAAGCTACAGGAACTTTGGATGCCAGGATGCCTGGGTTTTTCTGACAGCAACAGGGGTGGAAAGGAGCAGGCAACACTCTGGAGTCCTTCACCTGTGAACATGGGTGTGTTTTGAGGGGTCTGGAGAGCCCCTAGCCCTAATGGAGAAGTGGAACGTGACTTGTGGCCTCATTCTCACACACTTCACGGGATCAATCATGTGACGCCTCTGCTCTGGCCAGGTGCGTGGGCAGAGCCAGAGGGAACAGGGCAGTCACCTGAGCTACCCCTGCAAGAAGCCAGCAGTGAGCTGAGATGAGGTCGTGGCTGTTCATCTGCTCGGTGGCTATGGTCACCTTAGTGACATCCAGGCCCACAGAGGAAAGAGTCCTTGCTTTCGGGTAGGTGAAAGGATGGGGAGCTCAGCGGAATAGTGTGTGCGTGTGCGTTTGTGTTGGAGATGTCAGGGGGGCCAATTGGGGCTGGGGCTGGATAAAATAACCCAGGAGCTGGAGGAAGAGGTCAAAGCCGCCCCTCTGCCCCTCCTCATTCTTTGGTGAATCCCTGCAGTGGTTCCCTTGTACTCACCAGCAACCCCTCCCTTTCTGCTCTTCCACACCCAGAGGGTCTCTCTGTGTGCCCACTCTATTTAGCTAGAATTTCTAATTGATTTATAATAATTGTATATATTTTTGGGTCCCATATGATATTTGATACCTTTATACAATGTGGAATAATCAAGCTTGGATAACCGTGACATCTATCACCTCAAAGATTTATCTTTGCTTTGGGAATGTCATAATTCTTCTCTTTTAGTTATTTTGGAATATACAATAAATTATTGTTAACTATATTTTCCCTACTGTACCATCAAATACTAAAACTTATTCCTTGGCCAGGCACGGTGGGTGGCTCACGCCTGTAATCCCAGCACATTAGGAGGCTGAGGCAGGTGGATCACCCGCAGTCAGGAGCTTGAGACCAGCCTGGCCAATATGGCGAGACCTTGTCTGTACTAAAAAAAAGAATACCAAAATTAGCTGGGTATGTGCGGCTTGCTTGCAATCCCAGCCACTCAGGAGGCTGTGGCATGAGTCACTTGAACCCAGGAGATGGAGGTTGCAGTGGGCTGAGTTGGTGACCTGTCCATGGTAAACTGTGTGCTGTGGCTGTGCCTTTTGGGGACTTCTGCCCTCCTGGGTGGGAGCTCTGCCTGTCACTGTCCTGGGACCAGGCCACTAAGGCCTCCATCAGGCTGCACCACTGAAAGGGTCTGCTTGGTTCTGTGGTTTTCTGCTTTCCCATCCAGGGCTAGACTTCACTGGAGTAAAAGAAGAACAGGTGTCCAGCCCCAGGGGCCCAGTGCGATGCTTCCTGGCTGGGATGGAGATTTTTCTGAGGTTACTGGGTGGGCTTCAATAACTGGCGTGAACGCACTTATTTCTCCCATATTTTGCCTAAGGGGCAACTGGGCCTTCAACTCACTGAGTCTGTAAAGACCCCCCTGGGTCCACTGTGAGGTCTGCTTTATGGGAGAGAAACTTGGAAGCCCTAAATGAGGATCGCCCCTGGCCGGACTCGCAGGGCAGTAAGGAGCCAGGGGAACATCTTCAGCTTTCCTTGACCAAAGCTCATGCTAGGCTGGGCGCGGTGGCTCACGCCTGTAATCCCAGCACTTTGCCAGGCTGAGTGGGGTGGATCGTCTGAGGTCAGGAGTTCCAGACCAGCCTGGCAGACATGGTGAAACCCCGTTTCTACTAAAATTACAAAAATTACCCAGGCGAGGTGGTGCATGCCTGTAATCCCAGCTACTCAGGAGGCAGAGGCAGGAGAATTGCCTGAAACTGGAAGATGAAAGTTGCAGTGAGATCACGCCACTGCTCTCTAGCCTGGGTGACAGGGGAGACTCTGTCTCAAAAAAAAAGCTCGCGTTGAAAGCGTAGCCGACAAGAGCCAGAAGGGGGCAGCAGAGAGCCCTCCGCAGTGGTCAGGGAGCCATGGTGGAAACAGGTGTGTTGGGGTGGGTGTGTGTGTGTGTGTGTGTGTGTGTGTGAGAATGTGTGTGGGTATGTAGGAGTGTGTGTGTGGGTGTGCCTGAGCGTGTGTGTGAGTCTGTGTGCAGGTGTATGTGACCATGACAGTGTGTGTGTGTGTGAGTGTGTCGGTGTGTATGTGTACACACAAGTATGCGAGTGTGTTAGTGTCAGTGCGTGAATGAATGTGAGTGTGTGTGTGTGTGTGTGTGTGTGTGTGTGTGTGTACATGCTGAGACAGAGAACCTGCGAGAACTAGGAGCCAGAGGAGCGGACAGTCAGGAGCTTGGAGGCTGGGCTGGAGAGGACAGGGCGGACTGGCCTGGACATCCTGCTTCAGTCCATCGGGAGGTGAGGAGGGCCTGTGTGGGCATCCACATGATTGCTCCTGGCTCCCACCTGGGCCTGGAATCCAGCTTTCTCTTCCCCGAAGTACACACCCCTTCCACCATGCTGTGCTGCCTCTTAGTGAGGGGCTTTTGTGACCCTGACTCTGAGAATTCCAGAGGCTTCAGGAATGCATGTCATCAAGTACTGTGTGGTGTAGTAGAAAATGTCTCAGGCCAGGAGTCAGGGGACCCAGGGGCCACAGCTCGCAGTTAACTTTATTCTGTTTCTCAAAGGATGCTCAGTCCTCAGCACAGAAGATGAAGTGCTGGGAGGCTTGTGGGGGAAGCCCGAGGCTACCATCTGCAAGCCAGGCTCTTGGGGAAGTTTGTTTTGGCTTAAAAAGCCTTACAAGTGTTGAATTACTCTCTATCCTCTGTGCGTCTTTATCTAACGTGCTCTGGGGAGATGTGCCAGATATCGTTTGGCTGTGGGTTGTTTTTGTTTTTTTTCTGTAGAGATGGCGTCTTGCTTTGTCATCCAGGCTGGAGTGCAGTGGTGCAATCTTGGCTCACTGCAATCTCCGTTTCTGGGTTCTCTTGCCTCAGGCTCCCGAGTAGCTGGGACTATAGGTGCAGGCTGCTACCCCTGGCTAATTTCTTTTGTATTTTAGTAGAGACAGAGTTTCACATGTTGCCCAGGCTGGTCTTGAACTCCTGAGCTCAGACAATCCGCCCACCTACGTCTCCCAAAGTGCTAGGATTACAGGCGTGAGCCACCGCGCCCGGCCTTGGCTGTGGTTTTGTCAGATCCCGGCATCAGCTCTCAGCTCATGTGGTGGGAGCACTGGAGTTCGTGAGGCTGGGAAGCAAGGACCACTGAGGTCTCTCCGGCTGTCAGCGTGGGCTCGTCTCTCTGTTCCCTCCAGTCTGTTCCTCGTGACCTTGTCCGCCTGGCAGCACATTGGAGGTCACATTCATGTGGATGCCCCCATTGCCACAGAATGTCCCCCATTGCCAGAGTGTGCCTCCCCACCTCACCAGGAGGATTCCTGTCCGCTGGAGTCCCCTCCATACTGTCATAACCCTTGGGGACACTTTGATATGTGGGAGAAGAAATATTTATGCAAATAAAGAAAAAAGGCAACGTCAGGGTACAGGTTGTTGGATGATTAAGCCCAAGGCTTGTGGCGAGGCCTTGGGTCAAAGGAAAGGGCCCTCATGGTCAGCCGTGTGGTTTGGGAGCAGAAGCAGGCTGGATTCCAGACTCCCCGGCTCCCTGGGCCTAGCCTCGGGGAAGTGCGTAACCTTCCTGTCAGTCAGCATAGGAACACTTCAGGTCAGGGCGACCATGTGCACAGCAGCCTGCCGCGGCCGCCAGCTGGAGACGGATGTCTGATGTAACTAACAACAGTGCCAGAGGTCTTGGACACTTTGCAATGTGTGTCTGTCACCAGGGACGCTTGCCCCGGGTAGATCCTTGCCAATGCGGCCAGCACTGGATGTTCCCCGAAAAAGAGGAAGATGTCGCTTCCCTTCATGTAATGCTTGGCTATGGGCAGGGGCGGGGGGGCGGGGGTGTTAAAGAAAAACTGCTGCTGCTTTGCACATTACAGCAGGTCAGTTGCGGAGTTAAATGTCTATATATTTTGCGGAGTTAAATATCTTGAAATGTCTCTATTCGCGTTCTTTGTTCCCCATGCCCAGCATAGCGCCTGTGTGGCCAGCCTGCCCCGGGTTCCACCACTGGCCTTTGTGGCATCTGCAGTGAGGCCTTGGGGAGCTGCTCGTCCACTTCTAGACCTGTCTTTCCCTCCCTCCCTTCTAGATCCATTTCTGCTCAGGGCGAGGCTGTCCTTTTCTGTCCTTGATCTTGCCACTCCAGTCAAACAGGACTAGTTTTAGATTTTTAAGCCTTAATTTGTTGGGAGTGGTGGCTAACAGCAGCGGGGTCTACCTTTATTATCCCAGGCAGCTTCTCTCTCCTTTTCCAGCTTTGGTGAAGATATATATGGAGATGCGCCAGGGAGGGGACTCCCGGCTGAGAGCAACCAAACCCCAAGTCCAAAAAGAGATGGTGGGGGTCTCAGCCTCAGACCCCCAAGCGTCCTGTGCAGTGTGGGCGGGGTCTCAACCTCAGACCCCCAAGCGTCCTATGTAGGGGGGGTGGGGATCTCAGCCTCAGACCCCCCCAAGTGTCCTGTGCAGTGGGGGTGGGGGTCTCAGCCTCAGATCCTCTCGTCCTCTGCAGGCAGTGCAGGTGGAGGCCTGAAGCTGCCTGCAGCTGTTGACACCCCGGCTTTGCCATTTTCCCTGAAAAGAAAGAAAACAAAAACCACTTGAAATTAGTTGACAAGCAATACTTTGAAAAAGAAAACTGCATACGTTTGCTTTTGCCTTGGATATGAGTCTAATGTCTCTTGGTAGTTGATAAGCATTTTATTTACATATTTAGATCTGCAGGAAATACACATGTATCTCCTACAGTCCATTCTTATTTCCTTCTGGAGCCCTCATTCTGTGCAGTGATAGGAAAGGAAAAGCCCTTAATGACTGACTGCCCGTCCCCACGTGGCGTGGAGCTTCAGTTTTCTCGGTGGGGAGGCACAGGGGATCTGCGTGTTCCCCGGCGCAGGTCTTCAGGAGCGGCTCTCGCTGGTCTCGGTCCTCGGTCCCGGCCCATCGGCCTCTTGGCTCTGCCTTTCTTTGCAGCTTCCACATGGAGCTCGGGGCGTGGGAATCTGCTGTGAGACCCGGGCGCTGCCTGCCTAGGAGCCGTGGGGAGCCATTTCTCCCAGGGGTCTCCCTAGCCCCCTTGCTGTGCTGCTGGGAAGTGGGATGCGGCCCCTTCTCCTCGGCTTCCTGGCCTGCCTCTCACTTGCCCTTCTCCTGCCATCGGGTATGTGGGGGGCCGGGGAGGGGAAACCCTGGGGCCTCAGGGAACTCCCTACCTTCATCTTCCTGGCCATGTGTGTTCTCAAATCCTCTCCTCCGACCTCCACTCTGGGGCTGATGCTGCTGGAAACAAGGTCAGGGGCCTCT